AATTCATAATTTTTTCAAATAAATAAATCAATAAATAAATATTTATAAAACCAAGGTAAATATCTTTATTTCATTGTGCACTGTGTTGTTCAAAAAAAAAACATGTTGTTTTGTGTTTAAATGCAAGATTTATATTTATAAAAGACTATTAATCATTAATAAAACAAATATAATTATTAATCAAATTTAAATAATTTAAAATTAAATATAATAAAATATTATAAAATATAAAAAAATAAAATAAAATAAAATAAAACAAAATAAAATAATAAAATAATAAAATAATAAAATTAAATAAAAAATAAAAAAATAATTAAAATAAATGACTATAATGGACGAGATATAAAATAATAAAAAATAATTTTAATCATAACAATAATAATAGGAAAAAAAAATAAAAAAAAAAAAAATAGGTTGTCTTTACATTTTACAAAAGATAAATTTTTTTTAACTTTCTTCTTACACTCCAAGTCTTTTTTAATGATATATTGTATTTAAACTCTATTAATTTTTGTCTTTGTGTGGGTTTGTTTTTTTTGTTGTATTATTTATTGTGTGAAACTGTGGGATATGTGTGTGGGTATTTTGCTTAATAGGGGTATCAATGTTAATAAAAAACAATTGGTTTTGCATGTACAATCGCATGCAGTACTTTTTAACAGAGAAATATAGATGCATTATCTTTTTATTTATTTTTTTTTCTTTCATTTATTTTTTTTTTTCTTTTTAAATTAAAAATTTCTATTTTGTTTTTAATTTTTAATTTTCTATTTTGTTTTATGTTGTTTTTATGTATACACAAAATAAAAGTAATAGTATTATTATTATTATTATTCTATAATAATAATAATAATAATAATAATAATAGAATAAATTATTAAATACACTTTTAAAAGTGATAATAAAATTGTTGTAGGTATTAAAGAATAATAATGTTATTACCATATCAAATTATTATAAATCTATTATTGATGAAATATTTCAAAATCCAAAATCTCTTTTATATATCAATAAGACCCAAATAAAAAATAATAAATTTTAATTTTAATTTTATTTTATTTTATTGTTTTTTATAATCAAGAGTAGTATAATTTATTTTTATTCTTTCTTCACCCGTTTCATTAAACAATAATATTGTTATACAATACCATTTTTCCCATTACTTTTATAGTAGTATAAGTGTATAGTATACAATTTTTATTATACATACAATATTAATGTAATATTTTAATAATAACAACACCAACTATTTATAAGCACAATCTGTGTGTGTGCGTATATGTGTGTTTTATATTTTTATTTTTTTTTATCTTATTTTATTCTATTTATTTTAAATATATTTAATAATAATTTAAAATAATTTTATATTTTATAATTTATATTTTATATTATTTTAAATGTTAAATAAATTACAATATATATATATATATATATTTATGTGATATTAATAACAATAACAGCATTATAATAAAACAACAATAAAGTAAATTCTTTTAGTATTTTAGTAAATAATTTAAAATCATAATAAATTTATTTTCTTTTTTTTTGTTTTTTTTTGTTTTTCTTTTTTTTTTTGTTTTTTTTTTTTTTTCAAGAAATATAGTCATTAAAACAAATTACCAATCCATCAGTTTTTTTTTAAACAAAAAAAATAAAAAAAAGAAAATAGTTTCTCTTAACAATAACATCAACAACATCAATTTATTTAGAAAATTTTTATTTTTATTTTAAAATTTTTTCTTTATTTATTTTTTTTTATTATTAATCACAATAATTGGTTTTTATGTGCTAAGTTTGCACAATATCAATAAAACTTTTTTTACATCCTTTTTTATTATTTTTTTTAAAATTATTTTTCAAAAATTATTAAACTATTTTTTTAAAAATTTTTTAAATTATTTTATTTTATTTTTTTTAAATAATTTTATTAATTTTTTTTATATGCAAAATTTTTTTTTATTTTAGGCAGTTAGAATATAAATTATATACATAAATTATATTTTCTATAGCGATAGTTGTATCAAATTATATAATACAAAAATATAATAATAAAAATATTAATCAAAAAAACTTTTTAAATTTATTTATTTATTTATTTATTTATTTATTCTTTCAATTTGTAATAAAAAAAGAAAAAACACACAATAGTATTTTATATATGTATTAAAAATAAAGTAGAACAACAAAATTCAATAAAAACAAAAGAAACAGAAAGGTCAATTATTTTTTTATTTTTTTTTTTTTAATAAAAGAGAAACAATTAAAAAAATGGAGTATATTAAAGAGGTAGATGTTGGAGCATTCAGCAAATATGTATGTGTAGTAACATGTTGATATAGTAGAGTTTAAAAGATATACTAATATTTAATTTTCTTTAATCTTTAGCAATTTGGTGAATCAGTTGGTAAAGGTGCATTCGGTAAAGTATTTAAAGCATTAAATACTGAAACTGGTGATTTTTGTGCCATTAAACAAATTGAAAAGGGCATGATATCAGAAAAACAACTACCAGCAATTTTACACGAAATCAAATTACTTCAAACACTTCAACACCCAAACATTGTTAAATTTATTGAATCACACGAAACACCAAGATATTTATATTTTGCATTAGAGTTTATCGAAGGTGGATCTTTAGCAAAAATTACAAAAAGATATGGTTGTTTTCAAGAGCCATTACTCAGTAGATATATTAATCAGGTTTTAAAAGGTTTAGCATATTTACATGACAAGGGTGTAATTCACAGAGATATTAAAGGTGATAATATATTAATTACAAAAGAAGGTGTTATCAAATTAGCAGATTTTGGATCATGTACCTATTCAGCAATTGATAGAAAACTAACTGTTGTTGGAACACCATTTTGGAGTATGTAGTATTGTTTTATTATTTCATTATGGAAAAAAAAAAACCAAATATTAATATTATTATTATTATTATTTAAAAATTTTTAGTGGCACCAGAAGTTATTCAAATGGATATGAATGCAAGAAGTACAGCATGTGATATTTGGTCATTAGGTTGCACATTATTGGAATTGTTAACAGGTAATCCACCATATTGGGATTTAGGTACAATGCCAGCAATGTTTGCAATGGTCAATAACCAACATCCACCTATTCCACAAAATATTTCACCAGATTTAAAGAATTTTCTTATGGCATGTTTTGTTAGGGACATTAATAAGAGACCAACTGCAGCAATGCTTTTAGAACATCCCTGGATTAAATTACATTATCATGAATCACCAGAACCAAAATCAAAATCAGGATCAAAATTATCATTAAGTACCTATGTCGATGGTTATTCAGATCTTGAATCAAGTGAAGGTGAAACTTCGGCAGATAGTGAAATCGATCTTAAAGAACGTATACACATTTTAGAATCACAAAAAAAAGAAATGGCAGAAACTATTAAGAGACTGAAAGTACATTTCTTAAGAGCAATGAAAGAAAAGAAAATAATGAAGGATATGATCGCACAACTTGTAAATGAAAGAGACAGCTATATGGTTAAATTAGGTCTTACACCACCACCACTTCCCACAATTTTAACAAATACAACTTCACACACACCTACTAGAGCAGCCTTGGAACATGCAAACGAAATGTTATCAAAAGAAGGCAGTCACCTTAATCTTTTATCACCAAATTCACCAAACTCACCACATGACTCAAAACATACAAGATCATCATCTGCACCACTATCAGCTCAAGCTAAAATCATTGCTGGCCATTCACCAGCTCTTTCAAATGCCAGTGCATCTGCCTCCACAGGTATGATGATGAACCAAAATAGAGAAAGACTTCCTTCATCAATTTTAACAAATGATTTCTTTCATCCACCAGAAGAGGGCTTTGATGACGGTCATTCCCCATCCAACGATTCATTTTTGAACGATCATTTTGAAAAAAATGTTAAAATCTCCTCACCATCATCATTATCTAAAAACTCAAGACATCATACTAGTACACCAGACTCTCACCAATCACCAACACCAATCGCATCCTCATCATCATCATCAAATCAAAATTTAGGGGGTTATTACTCATCAAGCAGTAATCTTCACATGTACAGCAATATTAACAATAACAACAATAATAATATAAATAATAGTAACAATGTAGATATGTATTTAAGAACATCAGGTGATAAAATACAATCACCACAGTCACAGCCAGTATCTCTTAGTGGTGCTTTATCATTTGGAGAAAATACGGGCACACAACCAATAGCAATCGGTGGTAATAGTTTGAAATCAAAAACAAATGGAAAGCCGGTACTACAAAAAGAACTCTCAAATAAATCTTTAAATAACTCTGGCATTAGCGCAACTGCATCTCCAAGTAGAAAAATCTCAAATTCAGATACTCACCTCTCAACCACACCACCAAGAAAATCATCACAACCAGTAGCACCAAGTTTTTCACTTTTAAATCAATCTCTTGATAGAAATATAAGTACGAGTGGTACCAACGGTGGTACACCTAATAGTAATAGTAATAGCATACACGACAGTGCTGATGAATACGATGAAGAGACCGATTTCATTGAAGACGATCCATCAAACAATAATAGCAGTAATAATAGCAGTAATAGCAACACTGTACCAAAAGTAGAATCAGTTGTCGTAAATGTTCAACCACCAAGAGTTGGTGATGAATGTAAAGTAAAATGTGGCGATGGTTGGTATGATGCTATTGTCGATTTAGTTAGCGGCTCGACATTTGTTGTTACAATCAAACCTTTTAACATTAAAAGAGAAGTTTCTCACTCTGATGTTACTTTAGCTCCTTTACAATTCCCAGTTATAGTCACAAAGAAAAAGAAATTTAGTTTATTTGGCAAAAATAAATCATAAAAAAAAAAAAATAATTATAATATTTTTATATAATCATAAAAAAACAAAAAAAAAAAAAACCAATATATATAATATCCATTTTCATTATTTATATTAAATATATAAATAGTAATATAACCAATAATAATACATTACAAATTAATTCTGTAAATAACAAATAAAATAAAAAAATTTTAAATGTATCATTTAATTTTGAAATAATATTAAAAAAAAAAAAAAAAAATATTTATAGTTTTAATTTATTCTTCTTGTTCAATTTTTTGTTTTTTTAACTTATTTTCGACATTTTCTTCTTTATCTTCTTTATCTTCTTTATCTTCTTTATTTATTTCTGCACCATTATTATTGTTGTCATTATTATTATCTAATTTCTTTATTATATTTTGTTCTTTTTCTTTTTCAGCATCTAAAAAACTTTTATATTTGTCGTTAATGTCCCAAATTTTAGTTATAGTATCATAATCACGAGAAACCTGCATTGCTTTAACTTCTTTATTGTTTGTGATACCATTTTCGCTTAACATTCCCATAATAACATATTTTGAATTTACAACGTGATTGTCAACTTGGTATGCTAATTCAGCATATTCTTGAATTACTTTTTTTAAATCTACAGGCTCTGGTTTGCTAAAGATTGAAACATTTTTAATTGCACCTCTTGCAATCATAACGGAATTGGCTTTAGTTTTCTTTAAACAAGCATCGATATCTTCATGTTTCCAAATATCACCATTAGCAATGATTGGTACACTAAATGAAGCATTTGATAAAATATTTTCTAAACGATCCCAATGAGCAGGATCACGTGGTCTCTCTGGAATCATACGACAATGAACACCAATTGCACTAACACCAGTACTTTCAATAACACGTAATAAATCGATAGTCTCTTGATCAGTTGATAATAATCTAATTTTACATGTAATTGGTTTATTTAAATTTCTCTTTAAAGTGGTTAAAATATCTTTAATAGTCTCTGGTTTTGATAAAAGGGCTGATCCCATACCACCTTGAATTGAAAAATATTTTGGACACCCCATATTGATATCGATTGCACAAACATCCCTTGCTACAATTGATGCTGCTTCTAATGCTGTAACTGCTGAACCTGTACCTAATTGCATAACATTATTTTTATCGATTGCTGATGTTCTATATACTAAATTATTATCCTTTTGTACAAAATCAATTGTATTTAACTTTTCTAAAATATTATTATTAGTATTGGTATTAAAAAACAATATTTAGATATTAATTAAACGTAAATATAGTAATACACACCATTTACAACCCTGTGTGAACTTTTAACTTTAAAATCAATTAACTCTTCACTATATACAATATCACATCCATATCTTTGTGCTAAAATTCTCATTGGATATGTACTAACTCTAACCATTGGTGCCATAATTTTTTTGTTGTAATAATCCATTACAACACTTTTTCCTTCATAATATTCAGTTTCATCCATTTTTTTAATAGTTTTAAACCCTATATTTATTATTATTGTTATTATTATAATTTTACTGTATTATTATTATATTACTATCCTACACTATAACTGCTGTTATTGATATAACTTTAGTAACACTAGATTTATTGAAACAAAAAAAACAATATTAAAAATAAGTTAAAAAAACGAAAAAAAAAAAAAAAAAAAAAAAAAAAAAAAAAAAAAAAAATTTAAAAAATTTTTTTCATTTCCATTTAAAAAAAAAAAAAAAAAAAAAAAAAAAATATTTTTCCCATTTTTTTTTGAAAGCTAAGTTTTAATTAATTAATTAATTAGTAAATTTTAAAAATTTAAAAGGGAAAATAAAAAATAAATAGATTTAACTTTTTAAAATATAAAAGTTTTTTTTTCAATAATTTAAAAAAACCCTTTTTTTTTTTTTTTTTTTTTTTTTTTTTTTTTTTTTTTTTTTCCCCCCAAAAAAAAAAAATTTTTAAAAAAAACCCACAATTTTAAAAAATTTTTTTT